ATAGCTGTATTTTCATCTCTTTTTCTTCACATTGCATGTATGCTTCTTGACATTGCTTAAATTTATAAATCAAGGTCCCATTTATACTTGTATTACTACTGTATTAATGCTAATAATATTCTGTAAATGATTCTATCTTGATTAAAGCCAGGAGTGTCCATTTAAAAAAAAAATTTTTTTTGAGACAGTCTCGCACCGTTGCCCAGGCTGAAGTGCAACGGCGTGATCTCAGCTTACTGCAGCCTCCACCTCCCAGGTTCACGAGATTCTCCTGCCTCAGCCTCCTGAATAGCTGGGATTACAGGCACACGTCACCATGCCTGGCTAATTGTTTGTATTTTTAGTAGAGACGGGTTTCACTATGTTGCCCAGACTGGTCTTGAACTCCTAACCTCATGATCCACCTGCCTCGGCCTCCCAAAGCGCTGGGATTACAGGCGTGAGCCACCAAGCCTGGCCCAAAAAAATTTTTTTAATTGAGTTGAATGCCCTATTTGGTTTGAATTTTACATTCCCACAATGTGTGGCAGCTAATGCTTCTGGCATGTCTATTGAGAACATAGAAGTTCTCCTGGAACTAACAAATTACTTCCCTTCCAACACAATTATATAATCTGAGAGTTGAAAAGCACCCTAGAGATTATTCTGTGGCCCAAAGTCCCTCCCAATTAAGGAATCTCATCTAAAACTACTCAACTCTGTGGGCAGGGAGGGATGATAATCTTTAGATTCCCCATGACACAGTGCTGCAGCCATAGTAGGCTCTTTAATACATGCTTTTGTTGTTTTTAATACATGCTTGTTGAATTGAACTGAACAAGTCTAAAACGGACATATTAATTTTCTTATTCTACCCAGGCTTTAGCTGTAACACCCACTGAATCTGTAATTTAAAGCTCTGCATGATTCCTCTGCTCATTAACCAGTGTTCAAAGACATTCAATAAAGGAAACTCAATGTTTCAATTCATTAAAGAACCTTCATTTTAACAGTTTAAAATTTTAAGCTCCTGTCCTGGCAAAGTGGCTCTTGCCTATAATCCCAGCACTTTGGGAGGATATCTCAAGCCCAGGAGTCTGACACTAGCCTGGACAACATAAGGAGACCCTGTGATATGGTATGGCTCTGTATCCCTACCCAAATCTCATCTTGATTTGTAATCCCCACCTGTTGAGGGAGGGACCTGTAATCCCTCCCATGTATTGAGTGAGGGAGGTAATTGGATCAAGGGGGCAGTTTCCGCCATGCTGTTCTCATGATAATGAGTGTTCACAAAATCCCATGGTTTTTTTTTTTTTTTTTTTTTTGAGACGGAGTCTCGCTCTGTCATCCAGGCTGGAGTGCAATGGCACGATCTCGGCTCACTGCAACCTCTGCCTCCCAGGTTCAAGGGATTCTCCTGCTTCGGCTTCCTGAGTAGCTGGGATTACAGGCGTGTGCCACCGCACCCAGCTAATTTTTGTATTTTTAGTAGAGACGGGGTTTCAACATCTTGGCTAGGCTGGTCTCGAACTCCTGACCTTGTGATCCACCTGTCTCGGCCTCCCAAAGTGCTGGGATTACAGGCATAAGCCACCGCGCTGGGCCAATCCGATGGTTTCCTAAATTGAAGTTCCTCCTTTGCTCCTCTCTCTCCTGCTGCCTTATGAAGAAGGTTCTTACTTCCCCTTTGCCTTCTGTCATGACTGTAAGTTTCCTGAGGCTTCCCCAGCCATGTAGAACTGAGTCAATTAAACCCCTTTCTTTATAAATTACTGAGTCTCAGGCATTTCTTTATAACAGTGTGAAAATGGACTAATACACACTGTCTCGGCATAAAATTTTAAAATCAACTAGGTGTGGTGGCTCATGCATGTAGTCCCAGCTGCTTGGGAGGCTGATATGGGAGGATCGTTTGAGCACAGGAGGCTGAGGCTGCAGTGAGCTGTGATCACACCACTGCACTCCAACCTGGTCACAGAGTGAGACCCTGTCTCAAAAAATAAATAAATAAAGGCCAGGCAGGGTGGTTCATGCCTGTACTCCCAGCATTTTGGAGGCCCAGGCAGATGAATCACCTAAGGTCAGGAGTTCAAGATCAGCCCCAACTCTACTAAAAAATACAAAAATTAGCCAGGCATTGTATTGTGGTGGATACCTGCAATCCCAGCTACTCAGGAGGCTGAGGCAGGAGAATTGCTTGAACCTAGGAGGTGGAAGTTGCAATGAGCCAGGATGGCACCACTGCACTCCGGTCTGCGCAAAATAGTGAGCCTCCGTCTCAAAAATAAATAAATAATTTAAAAAATTTAAAAATAAAATTTAAAAATAAAAATTTAAGCTCCTAGAATCACCTGAACCCAGGTGGTGGGGGTTGCAGTGAGCAGAGATTAGGCCACTGTATTCCAGTGTGGGTGACATAGCAAGACTGTTTCTTTTTTTTTTTCAATTCATTAAAATTTTTTTGGGCCGGGCGCGGTGGCTCACGCCTGTAATCCCAGTACTTTGGGAGGCTGAGGCGGGTGGATCACGAGGTCAAGAGATCGAGACCATCCTGGTCAACATGGTGAAACCCCGTCTATACTAAAAATACAAAAAATCAGCTGGGCATGATGGCGCATGCCTGTAGTCCCAGCTACTCAGGAGGCTGAGGCAGGAGAATTGCCTGAACCCAGGACGCGGAGGTTGCAGTGAGCCGAGATTGCGCCATTGGTGCGGTGACTCGGATGCAAGACTATCTCAAAAAAAAAAACAAAAAAAAAACAGTAAGCTCCTAGAAGGCAAGTCCTATGCCTGGTCTGACTTGTAAGAGGCCATGGGGCAGCCTAAACAGACAAGTAAGCTTTCAACATTAATGTTGTTAATGTCAGTGCATAATAAAACATTTAACAGAAAACAGAAAATTAAGCCCTTGTTAGTTTGCTTATGATCTATAAAGGGCTTTCAATTTTCCAAAAATATGTTTCCTATTCCTAGTATGATTTATTATTATTACTATTTTAATTTAGAGATGGGGGTTTCTATGTTGGCCAGGTTGGTCTTGAACTCTTGGCCTCACCACCTTGGTCTCCCAAAGTGCGAGGATAACAGACGTGAGCCACTGCGCCCAGCGTGGTGTGATTTTTTAAAAACAAATAGTCTTGCATCATTCATACAACTAAATTATACCTTTATACTTATAATTGGAGTGCTCACAGATTAAGGCATACTAGCAGTAAAACATGCTATTATAGTTTTCCCTTAAAAGCCTGTGATCCCATCTGATTTCACCTAACATGATATGATAATGAAGACAATAAAGCCTCTGGAGCGGTAAGCACCACCAGTAACTTAACTTTACTCAAATATGTATTCCAAAACAGTACATAATTTACAACATGGCCCCGCTTAGCTATTACAATGCATCTGTTTCAGTTGTTTTGGGGACCTTTTTTTTTTTTTTTTGAGACAGAGTCTTGCTCTGTCTCCCAGGCTGTAATGCAGTGGCAGGATCTTGGCTCATTGCAGCCTCCACTTCCCAGGTTTCAGTGAATTCTCCTGCCTCAGCCTCCCGAGTAGCTGAGATTACAGGCATGAGCCACCAGGCCCTGCCAATTGTTTTGTATTTTCAGTAGAGACGGAGTTTCACCATGTTGGCCAGGCTGGTTTAGAAGTCCTGATCTCAGATGATCTGACTGCCTCAGCCTCCCAACGTGCTGGGATTACAGGCATGAGCCACCTTGCCCAGCCGGGCACTTTTACAATGTATAGTAGGATACAAAGCATACATTTCCAAATCTCCTTTCGTTCTGTTTTGCTGAAAGGGAGCACACATGGATTTCTTAACAGCACAATTCACAAATCTTCTTCAGGCAATAATTCGAACTCCCACTTCCTCCTAAATACCTCTGGACAGCATGGCAATCCTCTCTTTCACCACAGCTTCTTTTCATAACTAGTGGGTCAAGTTCCTTTCCCCATTTCGACACGATGCACTATACTGCGGCCCTGCCACCATAACCCACAGCTGAATGCCGGAATATAACACGCTGGATTCCACTGTCCTTCATTGTTTCCAGTTTAACTGCCATTTTACCACCATGCACACAGAGAAATGCATTCCCACAGGCATCTTATGAATTTCCAAAGCAGCTATTCTTTGTGGATTTACAAAACATGTGCTTCTCTGAATTCCCTTCATCACCACAGAAACGGCTCTGGGAAGACGAGATTGTTTTTTTTTTAAGTACCCTACGTATTATAAAAAGAAACTGATTCTAAAACATTTATATTTTTCTAGCTAATTTAATCCTAAAGGTCTTCCCACGAGGCAGTGAAGGAACATCAGGGCAAAAATTTTAAATACCGCTTTTGGTCTTCCCAATTAATATGAAACATTTTCAGCACACAAAGATTATCAAATTAAATGTCTTTTCTTCTCAGTCTACACCATAAGAGCTACCCAGGGCACTGTAAAATAGCTGGCTGTGGCTTATGCACAACGCCCTAAATCTTCCTGACACCCCCACCCCCACCCCTCGTCTTTGGGCTCAGAGACACATAATCCCTCAGCAAACCCCAAACCTGCCAATGAAGTGCACTATTTCTCTGCCACAAAGGCCAGCCCGCGCCTCGTGCACACCGGCCTCCGCACACATGTGCCTGGCTGACAAGCGCAGAGCTGCCCTTCCTGGATCAAAGCCGTTGGCCTGGACCGAAAGCTGCACTCTTCCCAGCCCACTGCCTTCTCCCGCAGCCGCTCTCCTCGGTGACCGGCGGCCAAATCGAAGCGCTCCGGCCACAGGCCGGCCAACCCCTCCGCCCGGCGTCTCCTGTGTGGCCGCTCTCAGACCTGCTTCCCCCCCGCCCCACCGTCCTTTTTTCTTCCCCCCGTTTTTCGCCTCAGGAAATTCAGTCGGAACTTCATTCTCCCCGAACCGAGCAGCTGGGGCACAGCCTCCTCCCGCGGCCGCGCCCCCCGCGCCTTCACCCGAAGCGGCCGGAGACCCGGCGACCCCGGCCCGTCCAGCCAGTCGCCTCACCTCCTCCTCGCTCTCGCTGCGGAAACACAGGCATGCGGCCCGCTTCTTGTAGCCATCGCCGTCGTAGGTGCGGGTCTGGTTCGACTTGAGCTTCATCATCCTCCGGGCCCAGGTGGGGGTGCGGTGCGGGTCGCGGGAGCCGAGGGGTGGGGAGCCCGCTCAGGACGGCCGCGCACGCGCGCGCCCCCGGCTCAGCCCAGGAAAGCAGGGAAGGGGAGCTTCTCCGCTACACGGCTCGGCCGCTGGCCCTCCGCGGCCGCCTCATTCCCCCCGGCCCAGATCCCGCGCCGCCGCTGCCACCGTCACGGCTGCAGTCTCCGCTGCCGCCAGGGCCGCCGCCCCCTCTGCCGCCGCCACCCCCGACGACGACCGCGCCGCCATCTTGGGCGCGCTGCGTCAGCGGCGTAAGGCCGCAGCGGCCTGCGGGACGGCCGCGCGCTCGCAGCGCAGGCCGCGTTCGGGAATCGCGCCCACCCAGTCTGGGCGGCGGAAACCAGCGTCTGAAAAGAGAGGGCCGCAAGTCTCCAGGCGGCCACTACGCCGGCAGCGTAGGCGTAGAACTGGTGGGACGCGCGGAGGAAGCCCAGGGAGATAGGGGTACCGGCGCAAGACGCCTAGCGGCCGGGGCGGCGACCCTCCGGTGTAGCCTCGCCAGTTAGCGGATGAGGAAGTGGGGACTTGGCCAAGGTCACGCCGCGTCTTCGCGGCTGGGGATAAACCAAGGTCATGCCACCCTCCCCTGGGCACTGGGTCTGTATCGAAGGAGATGAGGGAGAATGTCTGGAAGAGAAAGTAGGATGCAGTTAAAGGCAATGGAAGTTGCAGCCTGAGACACCTGGGATTTGGAACTGCACGGAAACAGGGCGTGGGAGGCGCGTGTACTTTGGGTTGATAGCCTGAACCTCCGGATGTCTTATGAGTTGGTGCATGTCGTCCATTACAAAGAACAAATATTTCTCCTGCAATTCTTTATTGATGCTAAAACTAAATGCTTCTTTTTTTTTTTTTTTTTTTTGAGACGGAGTCTCTCCGAGTCTGGAGTGCAGTGGCTCAATCTTCGCTTACTGCAACCTCCGCCTCCTGGGTTCAAGCGATTACCTTGCCTCAGCCTCTTGAGTAGCTGGGATTACAGGCTCGTGCCACCACGTCCAGCGAATTTTTGTATTTTTAGTAGAAGCGGGGTTTCACCGTGTTGGTCAGGCTGGTCTAGAACTGCTGACCTCGTGATCTGCCCCCCCTTAGGCTCCCAAAGTGCTGGGATTACAGGCGTGAGCCACCATGCCCGGCCTGCTTCCTCTTAAGGTAAACAAGAGGGACAGAAAGGAAGGCGCACTTGTGCGCGCGCGCTCGTGTGTGTGCGTGTGCGTGTGTGTGTGTGTGTACACACATAATCATGAAACGTCGTTTCTGGCAATAAATGAGGAGTGTGTGTTGTGGATGTCAAACAGCTTCTCCAGGAAAAGATAGAAGCTCTCCAGAAAGGAAAACTGACATATGACATGTGAATGTTCTTAGCAGCCCAGAACTAACCTCATGCCATGCAGATGCCCTAAACACACGAAAAATTCTGTGCAGGATATGTCTGTGACTTGCTTATTAACCTTTTGGTTTTTGAATTTTTTTTATTTAATTTTTTGTTGAGATGGGGGGGATCTCATTTTGTTGCCCAAGCTGGTCCCGAACTCCCGGCCTCAAGCTATCCACCCTCAGCCTCCCAAAGCACTGGGATTCCTGGTGTGACCAACTTATTACCCTTTACGAATTTGCTTGTATTTAGCATAGTCAAAAAAGATCTGGATTTGAAACCAATATATCTTGGTTGTAACCTCAATAACAATTTTTTTTAATGTTCATAGCACCCAATTACATCATTTTTTAACTTCTGTGAAATAGAAATGAGAAACCTTCTTGGCCCTGGCACATAGTAGGCACTCAGTGCACACCAGATGCTACTAACAGTTTGTTTGCCTATTAAATTTTCTTCTCTTCAAGAAAAGAAAATTAGAGTTCAATAAATGTTGAATGAATAGATAGATGGAGATTTTCTTTTGGTTTCTAATTCCTTACCCAGGCTTTTTATGGGCAGGCTTGTTTTGGGTTTTTTTGTTGGTTTGTTTTGGTTTTTTTTGGGGAGAGGGTCTTGCTGTGTCAATCAAGGCCAGCTCACTGCAGCCTAAACCTCCTGGGTTCAAGAGATCCTCCCTCCTCCGCTTCCCAAGTAACTGGGACCACAGGCGCCTATCATGCACCTTGGAGCACTACCACATTTAGCTAACTTTTTTATATTTTTTTTGTAGAGATGGGGTTTCACCATGTTGCCCAGGCTGGTCTCGAACTCCTGGACTCAAGCAGTCCTCGTGCCTCAGCCTCCCAAAGTACTGGGATTACAGGTGTGAGCCACCTCTCCCAGCCTATGGGCATGTTTATTTCAAGAGTTCACAAGATCATTCCCAGATCCCTTGGCTGAATAATAATTACTTTATCTTTGTTCAGGGAGCATTAACCAAGGGATTCTGTCCTTTCCTTGAAGATAATGGGTAAGGCCAGGCATGGTGGCTCACACCTGTAATCCAAGCACTTTGGAGGCCAAGGTGGGCAGATCACCTGAGGTTGGGAGTTCAAGACCAGCCTGACCAACATGGTGAAACCCTGTCTTTATAAAAAAATAAAATAAAATAAATTTTAGAAAAAGAAGGTAATGGGTAAGTAGTACATTTAAATTTGTTTAAACAAATTATACTTGGTCTAGCACAGTGGACCATGCTTGTAATCTCAGCACTCTGGGAGGCAGAGGTGGGCACATCATCTGAGGTCAGGAGTTGGAGACCAGCCTAAACAACATGGCAAAACCCCGTATCTACTAAAAATACAAAAAATTAGCCGCGTATGGTGATGGGCACCTGTAATCCCAGCTACTCAGGAGACTGAGGCAGGAGAATTGCTTAAACCTGTTGCTTAAATCCAGGAGGCAGAGGTTGCAGTGAGCCAAGATCGCACCATTGCACTCCAGCCTGGGCAACAAGAGCAAAACTCCCCATCTCAAAAAAAAAAAAAAAAAAAAAAAAAAAAAAAAAAAAAATTAACACATTATTCCATTTAAGTACGTTTCCAGAAGTCCTACAAGAAGCCAGGGCATGGTGGTAGACACCTGTAACTCCTAGCTACTCAGGAGGCTGAGGCAGGGTGATCACTGAGTCCAGGAGTTCAAAGGTACAGTGAGCTATGATTGTGCCACGGCACCCCACCCTGGGTGACAGAGTAAGACTGTCTCTAAAAAAAAAAACAAATTCCATAAGAAAACACTAATATGGGCCGGGCGCGGTGGCTCAAGCCTGTAATCCCAGCACTTTGGGAGGCCGAGGCGGGTGGATCACGAGGTCAAGAGATAGAGACCATCCTGGTCAACATGGTGAAACCCTGTCTCTACCAAAAATACAAAAAATCAGCTGGGCATGGTGGCGCGTGCCTGTAATCCCAGCTACTCAGGAGGCTGAGGCAGGAGAATTGCCTGAACCCAGGAGGCGGAGGTTGCGGTGAGCCGAGATCGCGCCATTGCACTCCAGCCAA